GGGGGGGGGGGGGGGGGGTGTTTCTTGACTGTCTTTTCCAGAGTCCGTAATCACGCTCCCCCCCTTCACAACTGCAGCCCAGAGACAGAGTCCATGACCCCGTGCTGTGGTTCCCTCCAATAAAACCATTTTGACCAGAAGTGCCCAAGAACACTTCCACTAACCAAACCCCGCTGTGGCAGGCAGGGCTGGAGCTGTAACACCCCCCTCCCTGCCCCCCCTGCAGAACGCTGCCTTCTCCAGCAGCGGGGCTCTGTTGATGCTGCTGAAGGCCCTGCATTCCTCAAGCTTCAAGCAGTGCCTGGCACCGCGGCTGGCTGAGGCCATCTTTCCGCCCCGTGAGAGAGCTGCAAGCTCCTCCTGGCTCGGTTCCACCAAGTGCCAGTCCCTCTCAGTTAACCTCCAGCAGTCCCTGGGACGAGGCGTGGAGCCAGGCAGACCGGCGGATGGGTCCCTGTGCATCCTCTGGCAGACACAAACACAAGCAGCAGCATATTCACATACCTGAGAACAGCCTGCAACACTTGGAGGGTTTAAGATGATATATATATATAAATATATTAAGGCTGTAACTCCAACACACTGCTCACAGATAAAAAACGAACCAAATCCCACTAACACACTGGATTCCTTTGCCACACTATGAACTAAAAGTGCTTATGGAAACACTGCCCTGCAAGAGGCTCTCCTGTCATACATCACATCTATATTCACACACATTCTGTGAAAGATTTAGGCCTCGGATAACAAGAAAGTAGGAGGAGAGCTGCTGTTGACAGCTATGCTCGCTGTGCTGCTGTTGGTAAATACGCACAAGCAAAACCAACAGCCCTAAAAATAGAAAGGAGCAGATTCTCTTGGTATCAGCCCAGCTCTCGTGGGCTGCTGCAGTGCAGCAGCATCGTAGTCCTTTGATTTCTTTAACGATGTGGCTGCCTCAAACCCTTCAGAACTGGAGGCAGTGAGACCTCAGCATGCATAACATGTTAACAGCAGCAGCTCAAAGGCCAGCAAGAGCTGCCCATTTCACCTCACCCTGTGCTACCTCTACCCAGTTGCCAGCCCGAGTTACCCAAATTCGTGATGGGAAATACAGTTTACCTTTGAGCAGTATCTAGGACACTAGAAACTCGACCCTCATTCAAACACGGGCATCTAATCCAACAAAGGCTAATTATTCCTGAGTTCTAACCAGATTCGCAGAGGAAGCCGAGCTGGACTGCCAGGACCCCTCTCTCAGCGGGAAGGAATGAGAGGGAGGGGTACAAAGAGGCAGATGGTGTATATATGAAGCATGCTTTGTGTAGCTTTCCTATTACACACGCAGGTTTTTCACTTGCACCTGTTTCTACCACTCAAACACCCAACTATTTAAAGACAGCCTGCAAAAGGAGACAGGAGAGAGGGTGTGGAGGGTAGATGAGATGGGATTCATTCTTTGCATTCTCTTCCCCGATATTTACAGGTCCTTGATATTCCTTTATAGGGTTAGCTTTCAACTGTTTTTTCCTCTTTCACTGCAAGTTTGCCTTTAAGAACCAAAAGTAGCTGGAGAGCTGAGAAAATTAGCATTTAGAGGGCTTTTGCAAATTGAACGCCCTCGGGGAGTTTTCTGGAGAAACTGAACTCCATTAAATTAGGGGCCAGGACTCTGGCATCACTTGTGCTGAAATAAAACACAACCTCCAGCAAGGGCATCTCATCAGATGACCAAAGTTAATATTGGTTGAATGCTTACAAAAATCCTCCCCCTGCCTTTAAAAACTTGTCAATCCACTTTGGAGCATTTCTACTTCATAGCAACTGGGAGGAGGAAAAGAAAAAAAAAAAAAAAAGAGCGGTGGGAAGGCAAAAATGCCTTCTAGGCACTTTAGGCACAGAACCTTCTAGGAAAGCAACTACAGCTTCACTGTATTCAATGCGAGGAGCAAGAGCTAAGGGGAATAATATTATTTTGCATCTCTTTCCATATCCTGTGGAAACACTGTGGAACAGCTAATTTTCTCCCTGTTCATCAGTTCTGCAGCATTCCCCGTTCACTGCATGCAGTGCCTTTACAAAGCATGGAAAGAGATCTCCTCCCCACTGTCACCTGCAACAGCATGAACCAAAGACAGCACAAACCAACAGCAGCTGCCCACGTCTCCAGATGCAACCATATTCTTCCACAGAGGAAAAATGAGTACATCAGATACTGAATGCTCACCAGGAAAATTCCGCTCATTTATTAGATGTCTTGTCCTTTGTAGGACAGTTTGAGCCAAACGAGTTTGCTTATTTAAGTACAAAAAACTTTCAGAGTCACAGGAGATTCCAGAAATGCCAGAACCCTGAGCTCCCCTCCCTCACCACAAAGAGAGTAATCTCTCCCACCCACTTCTCTGTTCAGGCCGATGACTGCAGCCACAGAAGTCTTAGGGTCTCTGGCCCATCTTCTTCAGGGTTCGATTCAGCTGGAATTAGAGAAAGCAAAAGTCAGAAAAACATGTAATGACTGACATACACTACTGTTCCCCTCAGCAGCCTTTATCCAATGCCTCTACTCCTTCCTCTCCAACTCTCTGACAAAAAGACCTCTTGCACCAAGGGCAGGCAGTGTGTGAAATAGAAGAGGAACTAGTAGAACTCCCTCCTCTTCTCCAAGACAGCAGAGGAAGATGTGGGGAGAAGAAAGGGTGCAAACTTCCAGCAGTGCTATCACAACCCTGTATTGCTCAAGTCCCCATCTCTCAGGATTTTGCTGCCTGAGTTTCCAGCACGCAGCAGCCTCTGTCGGGAGAGCAGAGCAGTGACAATGTCACCTCCCAGCTCAGCACAACACTGAAGTCATCTACGCTCCAGGAACCTTTGAGGCCGCTTTCTAGAGCCGTAGTTATGAAGGTAGAGATAGGATTTTGGTTGTGTTACTGAAAGGAACACCACGATTGTCTAGGGACGATGGAGCCAGTGCTCTAGGACAGTAAAACCCTCCTCCTCTCCCACTATGGCTCAAACAAGCACTTCTCACACAAAAACATACCATTCTTCAAAGGCCAGCAGCTGCTGCTTAAACCACCTGCCTTCACCCAGTGCCTCGAATTGGTGGGAGTCACCCCAGCAAGGCATCACACAGCTGTCTCACTGAGCACATCTCCTGCAGGGTCTGCACAGCCCAGTGCTTGCCCCGCTTTTCCTACAGAGCTACACAGCTCTCCCAACCTCACCTCCTCAAACTTGTGGATCTGGCGGATGAAGAAGTCTCCGTAGCGTCGAGCAACCTTTGTGTCTGCGATGTGGATCATGTCCTGGGGAGGGAACAGCATAAGGTCAGGAAAAGGACTGCTCTAGCAGGGAGAGAACAAGCACTGCCAAAGGGTGAGCAATCAAAGGGTCTTCACTCTAGCCCTGATTCAGCATCATATATACCTGATCTGTGCTAGCCCCACAGCGACCATTCACTTCTCTG